TGATATAATAATGTCTAAATGTCTTTTATTTTTTTATAAGCCAAATTTTTATTTAATTAACTTTTACTATCTTTGAAGAAAAATACCTATATTAATCCATTAAAGATATTAAATTTAGTTTCCCACAACAAATCAATAAATATGTAAACAGCTCACGTAATAATTGATTTCTATATGACAGTGCTTATTGACGATACATCAATCTAAAGTTTTTAAATAAAATAGAGCAACAAGTTTCGATATTTGTTCGCACCCTGCAACGGCCGAGTTTATTCGACAATAGACGGCAGCTTGAGTTAATAATATTCCTCCCTCTGAGTAAATAGAACCGAGTTTGAAATCAGAAATGCGAAAGGTTGCCTCCTGCGCGCTCTCCGACTTTTTCTTAGCATTGTATTACCTTTCCTCTACTTCGTGCGCTTCGCCAGTCTCTTTAACCCGGTAAGAAGAGAGCATTGTGCAGAAAAGTTCCGCGCGCGCGCCGGACCGCGTCGCCGACTGCCATACTTGTGTGAGACCGCCACTCTTTTGATATTTCAACGTAGTAGACGAGTGGCGCGTCGTAATGAAATCATCTCCAGTACTTTGATCTTCTCCCCGTGCGGCGCACCCCCTAGCCATCACCGGTAACCTCCGCGTCGCTTTCCCTTGAAAACACGAGGCCACCCCCGCACACTACCCTCGCGAATGTCCCACTCAGCCGGCACACCGGCTTTACTAGCACCCTCCATCCGTGTCCCCTCCTCATGTTATCTCCTCGGGGACAGGTAGGCAGGCAGGCACACGGTTCGACGTATATACCACTCATAATGAGTTCATTCTGCTCCTTCTTTGCCGCAACACATTTTTACCACGCGGAAAGCAATTTTGTAATTATGACAAGTACCGACCGATTATCTTCTGTCGGGTGCGTCTTTGTTACTCTTTTCATTGCGTTTGCTGGCCAACTCATAATTATCTTTCTGCACGATATTTTCCGCCCAACGGTGCTAATAAAAGTCGGCAGGAAAATGACACATAGGATAGCAAGAATTCACGTATAGCGCGATATCGTGGGATCGTGGGATATTTTCTTTGCGCGAAAAACGGCGATAGATGGTGACGATGATGAATGTCGGAGCTGTGGAGTCGGAGGCAGGCAATGCGAAGGACATGAGAAGATGAAGTGGCGCGAATGAGTCGCCTTTTTCTTTGCTGTGCTATGGAAAGCACCTTCGATAACGCTCAGTACTTATCTCTCAGTTTAACACCTTGTGGACACGCGATATTACATTGAATCATGACAACGTAGAACAATATAACTATATAATTCGATTGTACAGGTAAAGAAAAAAGAAAACCAAAGATATGTAGCTTAAAATAATATGCACAGCCTAATATTTCTTTTTTTCTGTACGGCAACAAATAGAAAATAAAAATGCCACTAACCAAAAAATAATTTAACAGTATGATTAACTAAAAATGTCAAAGATGCAGTTATTTTTATTTATATTTTTGCATATTATTTTTTGATAATAACATCTAGTAACGTACTTAATGAGTTTGCTTTCCTAAAGTTTCTTATTAATTTTCCAGCTTACTAGCATAATGAAGTGTACTTATCAGGAATCAATAATTTAATTAATAAGATGATACTTATATAACTTAAACTGGAAGGTTTAAATATAAAAGTTTGATAATTGTTTATACAAAGTTGTAATTAATATTCCTAAATTATCGACATTACTATCTAAAAAATAATTATTTAACAACTTACTTTGTTTATTAATTATGACATATAGTTCTGCCATTTATCATTACTCGTGAGCGAAAATTTAATACGTTATTACATATTTTGAATTATTATGCCAGGCTAAGAAAAGAAGAGATTAAAATATACTAAAAAAGATTGTTTATGCATGCAAAAAGAAAGCGATAACACATGAAAAGGAATATAACACACACACAAAATAATATTTATTACCGTGAACAGTAACGATGATCAATACGCGGATAAGCACGTTGACGGAGGCGCCAAGAAGCAGAGAGAGGAAAAGGGACGGGAAAGCTTGTTCTTTGTATGAGAGAACCATGACCGTGGCGGCTATATAAGGTGTATCGAGCAACAAGGACTAACGGCCTTTAATTAATAAAGTTACGCGAACAACTCTCAAAGTCTTCCTGCCTCCCGTGCCCACCCACCTGGATAGCAGCTATTTCCTTCGCTTTAGAAATTCTGGTATTTTCCCTCATTCTCTCTCCCCCTCATTGCTTCTTCATACTTTGGTCTTCCGTAAAGGCCTACCTACGAAGTTGTAACCTTTTATTGCACGAGAAAGCGTCTTCCGCTTATTTTGCAAAGATACTTTTCTACGAATTTTCTTTTGATACCGATAATTATGCTTACACATTTAAATGCCGTTTAATATCAAATTATTAAAAGCTAAGAAGAAGAGATAATATATAATTTATGCATAAATGTAGATCTCAGTTTAATATGTCTTCTGCTTTATTTATTTTGCTTGTACTTTTCATGTAAAGCAATGAAATCGTAGGATTGAGAAACAGAAAATTGTCATCGTATGATTAATTTAAAAGTAAAATAAAAACAATGCACAACAAATTCAAATAAGGCATTTGAATTTTTTGAAATAAAAATCATGTCTATATGAAAAGAAATAACATTTTACATCTCTTTCGAGCACATTCAGAAATTCTAGCTTATAGAAATTTATACGTGTAGTTCAAGAAACGATGTATACAGAGAATATGTACACATTTTACAGTCACGTGTAGACACTTTGAATTTGTAATACATACAGATGTCGTAACTTGCATATATAACGCATGTATATGTATACAACAGAGTATATGTCACTGCTACGTAAATTACATAGTACATAGACGTATAATGCGTAAACGTTGCCCGTAATAATACGTGTGTGGAAGGCTTCGCTACGTATATTAAGTCAGCGACATTTTCACGTGTACTACGCGACGCGTATTTATATGTTTGCAGCATAATGGAAATAGATGTGTAGTATATTCAACGCAGTAAACATAGAGTGACGTAAGAGTCACTTCACACATCGTTTATTGATCAAACGTTTCACATAGCATGTGTTAAATATAGTAGACATTTTCACTGATTTGGGATCTATTAATCTTTCTACATCGCTGAAACAAATTCTGAGAAAAGAAATCTTTTCTCAGAAAAATTTTTTTTAAGCGTAGAAATTTCTTTTAATGTATGCTTCATTTAAATCAACTAATAAATTTAACATTAACAAATTTTTAATTCATATTTTTTTAAAATATTTACAATTCTATATTTGTAAAATTAATATTAATATAAAAAAAATTATAATGTTTAGAGATAAAAATATAATCAATGATATAAATTAATATAATATTATTTTATCTAAGAAGAGGTCTGTACTTTGTAATAATTCTCAGTGTCCGGCGAATTATAATTGATAATTTACACGAAATCGCGATACATATTTTCTTCTTATCGTGATGGCGCCAAAAGCAGGAGAAGGATCGGGAATCTTTTCAAACTGTGCTACACAGAGACGGACTCCCGGAAAAGGAAGCACCACCCGTGGATTGCCAGACTTCAAGAATTAAACCGTGTTCCTGCTGCCAACCCCGTGATGTCTTGTTCGTACTATAGCACATCGGCCGCCATGCTTCTCCGAGAGAATCTTCCGGCAAGTTATGGCTTGCTAAAGAAAATTGACTTGAATCTACGCCAGGATAATAAAAGCGCATAGCTGCGAGGAAGCGCGAGCGAGAAAAATAAAGAAACAATCCTGACACCATGGGCGATACCGGTAAAAAAGAAGTCGTTCGGATACGTAAAACGGCCAGAGAGAGGAAATCCTCCTCGTTATACACATATAGATTATAGATCATGGCTGTCGGCTCCAATGTTAATAAATATCTATTAATGTGCTTTGAAAACTTGTATCGTAATACTGATATTACGAGCGATATTAAACGCGACACGGATATTGCATTATTTTCATCGGAACATTTGGCCCATTTCATATACGGTACATTTAGAAAATTTACGCTAATGTCTACATGTTGCACATTTTTCGAATATTAAACGATTAAAACACGAATGACATGATTTCTCATATTTAATATTTTAATTTTGTATTAATGTAATAGACATTGCTGATAAAACGTGATCATCTATATTAAATATATCACGTTTGCACTATTATATCTTGTCTCACAGTTGAACGTGACGTGTAATATAATTAAAAATTTTTTTATCTTTTTTGTTTAATAGATTAAAATTTTTTAGATGAAAGAAAATTAAGAATATATCTGCATATATAGCAATATATTTAATTGTAAGTAGTTATTTTATTAACGTTACTTTATTTTGATAAATTTTAACTAAGAAAGAGAAATTTTAATTTTTATTTCAATATATAAAAAAATATTAAATATTTTTCTGTTTTAATTATGAAGATTTTAATAACACGCGATGATAAATGGCATTAACATTGATATTGAGATTTGCAATACTTCTTAATTATTATTACTAATAAGTTATATATCTTACATTAGCATTATTTTTTATAAATTATGCAATCAGTTTTATCAATAATAATATTGGTTAATATAATAACAAGGTATATTGAAACTATCATTGATATTATTTGAATGTATTTCATTGCATTAGAGCAAACTATGTGGAAGCTTTAAAATCAAGCGTATTTTGTTCGCGGACCTACTTATGTGAAGATAATCACATTATGTACGATAATCAGCCATGATTTCATTATCTATGCGATAACGCCCTATAATAGCTCTTCTGCTAACACATTGGCGTGTCTAATACAATTAACGCATATGTGAGCAAAATTTAACAAAACAGTATTATTATGATTGCCGAGTCTCAATAACCTATAAAATGTATTTCCCGAGCAATGCAATGTTTCGATACTTTTGTAAAATTTCTTTTGCACACAGTCGCAACAAGCAATCGAGCAATCTTTTACCTTATTCGGTGTCGTTGCTTGCTGCTGCGGCGAACAGCTGGTGCTGTGTACAGTCGGCTGATTGGTCGTCGCCGGTACGATGCCCTGATGATTCAGATGACTCAGCTGATTCAGCTGCGTGAGCTGCTGCGGCTGCTGCACCGGATTCTGGGTGTTGGCCTGCAGTTGTTGATGATGTGACTGATGCGCAGGATGAGTCGTCTGATGATGCGTCGCAGGGAAGGTGGGTACCGTGAACGGGACGAACAGCATCGGGCTGCCGAGGATGTGCGCACCACCTCCACCCAATGCCCCCGTCTCCTCCCTACACCTTTTTCGTGCGTTTTTTGTTTTGGGTAACTTTCTTTACTCCATCAACGGTGTATTTTTTTATATTTTTTCTTAATTTCGGCGTGCTACTACGCGCATAGATCGTTACTTTTATTATATTATTTTTGTCAAGTACACTGCCGACAACGACGACGAGCAGAGTAGAAGCGTAGCAGTAGCACTAGTAGTGGTAGTAGTGGTGGTAGTAGTAGAGGTAGAAGTAGTGGTAGTGGTACTAGTGATGGTAGTAGTAGTAGTAGTAAGGAGTAATATACGTGTCGAAGTGAAGCTACGATATATGTTTAATGATTTATTATTACCTGCACTCCTGCCCCAGCCCCTGGTGCTGGGGTTGGGCGTAGGGGGCGGCTCGGACGGAGGTGGTGGACGCCACCCTCGCTACCCTCAGCGATAGACCGCCCCGCTGACTGGTAAGTTGGACCGAAGTTGGCTGGTGATTGCTATGCACGCAGCAACAGGCACGGCAGCCGATCGGCTGTTGTTGGTTTGGAATAGCCTGGAGATGATGATTTAGGGGGCCCCTGGGCCCCGTGGAGGAGGGAGAACACGGGTACACCCCAACCAGGCAACCCACCACCGCAGCCCCGGGGCCCGGTGCGCTCGGTGCCAAGGCGCCTGTGGACGAGGCCACCCCAAGCTCGCTGGCTCTCCGGCAACCACTGCACCACTGCACCCACCCTCCTTGTTGAGGGGCTTGTTGATACGTCCTGTTGACGTTGATCGTTGAGCCGGGCTGAACGACCTCAACCTGGGCCTCTTTAAGCTCACGCTTGCCTGCGGGCGGGATTTTGCTACTTTGCTGTTTACTCGGGGTGATCAACTTTAGACTTGTGCGTGGCGGACGTTGATTTTCAATCTGTTTCAAATTTTCTTGGATCAGGCGATGAAAATCAACAAAGAAAGCCTGAATGCTTCACTTCGACTCTATTTCTTGATCACAACACTGACGCACGTAAAGAGCTGCTGATTTTAAACAAATCAGTAAAAAATCACAGTTTCTGCTACAGTCTTGTATGTTACGAGAAAAAGATGAGTTTTAATAAATATGTTTGCAGCTATCGATGCTTCCAGTTTTCGAGCTTTGTTAATGTTATGTTACTAACACTGATTGCGTTGTTCACCACAAAGCGATGTGATTTTGTCAAAAACTTTTCTTTATGTTTGTCACAATTTCCTAGGGAGGTTTTTGAGAAATATGCTGAGTTCTACCGAATCCCGTTCTCGTGGAATGTGTTTACCGCATACTCTTGGCGCAGTCGAGCTCACTTCGACGACCACGTGGTCGACTCGGATAAGATGCTGTCAATCTCTTTGAATGCCGGTATAAACGCGAATCGCAGATATATTTGTTTTTATGTATAAAATACGTCACCTCGATTAGAAAAGTCCACAATATTTTTTGTTCTTAAATTACTTTTCTTTTTCTTTGTATTTACCGAAGCAAATACCTAAGACAAATTATCGCATAAGCAATTATTAAATACTAAATTAGATGAGCTTTAAAATTTAATTAATACACGGATATAATTGTTATGGTAATTGTAATGTACAATTGAACACGTTTCATTGCATTGTATAAACCGATAAACTGATGATATCTTTTCTATTAGTCGGCAGAGCATGCGTTTAACTTTCAACTTTTCAACGATCTATAAGAAATGTCCGATGTCAATTGTTTCGGCAATACAAGTCATAAAACACGTGTTTTGCTTTATAATTCAAAATACTGCAGCATACGTCTCTACTATAAGTATATCGGGTAATTTGCAACTGTATATTTCGTTAATTTATTAAAATCTTCCAGATGATGAATAGACTGTGGTGAACAACACTCGTAGCTGCATGCGTCGCATGAAGACTTTCGCTTACAAATACGTTGCAGGGAAAGATACGAAGTTCGCGGTCACACGCACACCTGGAAGAACGGTAATCACTTGATCGTTCAAACAGCACCTTCTTTGTTTTCTCTTTCTAATACTTTCCTAGATATCTCTTAGGTGTGACAACCATGAATCATAGAAATCTGTGATTGAATTTTATTGCCGCGCGAACAAGATACGAAATAAAATGCGGCGGATACTTCGGATTTTTGTACGAGGATTAACACCCGTATTTGCGGCGACTTTCTCTCCTTCCTCCACGGGTAAATCAAACAAAGCGGCCGGTCCTCGCGATCGTACAAATGAGATTAAAGACACGACGGGTGGAAAAAGAGGGAACCTAACCCGTAATGTTGGAAGGTCGCTCGCCGACTGACTAGCACTTCCGCTCAGGCTGTTGTGCGATTCAGAGTGGGGGATGCTTCGTTGAGTTGTTGTGTGTAGGAGTTGGTGGCGGTGGGTCGACTCGTCGGTTGGTTGGTTGGGGTGGTTGTGTGTGCTTCGCTCTTGCTGTGCGCGGGAAACCAGGGGCTTTCAAGCCTGCAGGATCCGTGCGGCCCGGCGAAATAGCGACCAGTTTCACGTGGCTCGTACTAGCTTGACTTCAACTACTTTTACCCTGCGTCTCGTTGTCGACGTCGTGCCCCAAAGTTTTCATGAAATCTCGATGCCGTGAATTTTAAGTAAGCCCTGTGCGTCGCAAACGCATAAATTCCAGAAATGTTAAGCCAGCACTTATTTATATTATGTTAATACCGAAGCGATGATAGAACGATGAACAAGCGTCTGCTTATAAAGATCGTTTTTTACTTGTAAAATAAAATGTCGAAATTGAACAAACTTCGTTGTTTGTGCGTTTAGAAATTTAATTGTCTTGCGGCGAAATGTGCGAGCGAATAATCAAGACAAAAGGGTAGAACATGATTCGGTGAGTAAATCGATTAAATGATGAGAAGAAGTTGAGATGTACGAGAGACTGCGTAGGGTATCAGGTGCGCGCTTATACTGTCAATCGAATTATCTAGGGTTTGTCGCAGCTGTTTCAAAATATCCTTTTACCTTGATAGGCACAAACCAGATATCAATCAACGTTTGTTGTTGAATTTTCGAGAATAAAAAACAAATGATTTCCGAAATTATTCATCAGCCAAAAAGATATCTACATAGAATCTTGTAATCTATTTTTTAACGCAAATAAATTCTACGATAATTAAACATCGTAAGAGTTCGGAAACGATAGCAAAGTATAAACTTAAAATTGACACTGCAATTATTAGTATCACTAGAAATCTCAGAAACTCTGGTATTTCTCGCTAGGCCATAGAAGATGCTCGACCGACGGACACGAGCACTATTTTGCGGACGGATTTTAACTCGATGGCGTGTGTTTCTAGAACAATTTCACGTTACCTTGCACTAGAAGAATCACTTAAAAATACACCACAAAGCACCTGTCACAATCGTCGAACTTGCCGTCATGCACTGTCAAAAAATGTCACTTTCGCGAACGCCTTTTTCGTTTGACAAGGTTTCTCGAGCGGGGTGCCGGAGAACGATGGGGGCGCGTACCGTTCGTATGCGTGGTTGTTTGTACGCGTGCGTCCTAGTATACAGGTTGTGTTTATGCGGCCGGCAATCGTATATAAGTGTTGGCGCGTGACAGTGACGGAAAAAGTGTCTCGGCGCGAGTTACAACTGGCGGGTAAAAAATGATAATGGCGGATGAACAGGCGGATATATGCGCGGGGGTACTGGTGCGACGCGGTGTCTCGTAGCCTGGTGTGTAATGGGCTATGGATTTGGTGGAGCGCTGTTCCTGCACGTAGGGTAGGTAACGTGGAGACAAGAACCCTGTATCGCAATGTATCGCGGCGGCGGCGGCGACGACGGCGGCGGCAGCGGCGGCGGTGGTAACTGGAGGGGTGATCTGTCAGGCTGGAGGGGCGAGTGGGTGGTAGAGGGTGGGAGTCTGGCTCGTTCCTTCGTTCGTTCGAGGTGGTGGAAGAGAGGGTAGGTCAGACGATCTCGAGACCGAGGGCGCGCAGAGCGCCGTTTCTCGTGCGGGAACAGTTATCGTTGCTTCCGTTGCTGATGTTGTCACGTATATCTATCGTCTATTGACGCTCAATCCGGTTTTGTATCCTTCTAAAACGACACGAATTTTCTATATTTTTTATTACGCTCAATTCTAGAGTTATTGTATCGGAAAGTAGATAATTATTTATATTATATGTTATATTCTTCTATGTAAATATATAAGAAATTTAGCACACAGATTAATCGTAGATAATTTTATGCAACGAGTTTTCTATGTACAAAATATTATTCAAATTCATTTTCAATATCATTCATCATTAATTTTCATGTATCTTAATAAATTTAAAGAATGTTCAGTGCTTCTACTAAAATTATTAATTAGTGCAATATTTTAAAAGTATTATTTTGTTTATTATATATACATATATATTATTACTTTATATAAAAACAAGATACAAACAAATAATTTATTACAAAAAGAAAACATAATTCAAATAGAATTAAAATTTATTTTATTCTCTTTATCCTTTATCTATATTCTATTTATCCTTATCTATATTTTAGTATAACGTCAGTATAATTCTATATTTCTTGATATAAAAGAAACGGTATTTAAAAAGAAACTTTTTAAAATTATAAATAAATTTCTTTATTTTGTTATAAAAGTCTAGGAAGATAATATGAATATTTTTCTCTTTAGTGCTATTCTAGTTCATTAAAAGAAGAATATAATCAAAGGCATGTGGTTAGAGTGCCGATGAATCGATCAGTACTGGTCATTTGGCTCCCTTTGTCGCACGTGTTAATTAAAAATTGCTGGCGGTTATCGTCATGGAAGGAATCACATATATATCTGTAATTAATTTATCGATAAATTCTCATCAACCATCGAGCAATCTCACAGCATTTACTGACCGTGCTTTCAGAAATTTTGTCTTTTTAAAATTAATAATTACTGAACAAGTTATAAATTATATTTTGTGTATAGAACATTTACGAACCGTTCGCATTTGTGGTCGAAATAGCCGCTCTATAACTACTGCATAACACAAATAGAATAATAATAGTATGTATTTAGCTGCGCTCATAGCACTAGATTTGATTAGCTTCCGTGTTCTGCGACGTAATTACCAAAGTGACATATAACGGTGTATGAATTGTCATGAAACGTTTGCTCTTATTTATCAAACAGACTTAATTAAATAATTTTTACGTACATATATAAATTTGAATAGATCTAGTTTTGATATAAAATATTCATTTTTCATATCAAATTACTATCACTAATCTAGTTTTCATTGCTATTGAATAATAAAAGAAAAACATAGGGACAAAAATCGATTAAAGTCAACAATTATAAGAACTTTAAATACGATTTGCAACTCATTTATAATTCACAGTTCTCGCGGTCGACAGTTTCCCATTGGGTCGCCATCAACGAGCAGGCTCGCGGGCATGACAGATATGGTATACACATTGCGCCCAGGAAATTTCGTATTTTCGCGGCTAATGACTGAGGAACGAGACGGTAATGTATTCTATGTGGAACATCTACTATGCGCTCCCCATTAGCATTTGTAATGCGCATCTACCCCTAACTCTCGGGGCGCAAGCGTTGACGCTCGGCGCAAACCCATCAACGTACCATTTATAGCGCCGTTTCGTGCCCGCGTACGCGGAGAAAAGAGTTTACTACTCGTTGCTGGTGAATATGTTAATAGGATGCACCCGCGCAGCGCGCTCTTAGCAGCATCCCGCGTTATGACGCAGCCGTTGGTGGAAGATTACGGTCGTACCTTAGCGTCGAGATATTTTTCCGTGGCTCCCAAAGGCTGCGATAATATGCGGAAGTAGACGCACCATTAAGAGACCTTTCACATGTCACACGTATGCCGCGTCTGAAATTTTTAACTAATATATACATATATATTAGGTTCAATATTATAAAAAGCATATTTATAAAAAAAGCTTTTAATATATGTATAATTGATTAGATTAAATAACAGACGTTAAAATTCTATGTATTAGCGCTACAATTACAAAATATGAATAAAAAGATAAAGATTGACTGACTGATGTTCGATTGTGTTCGACTGATCTCAGTCACATATGAAAATTATATGACATTAAATGTGGCACGTCAAACGCAGATATCAACATTCGCTCATTCAAAATGGGGATTGAAAGTATTGGCACACGAGGAAGAGCCCATAGTTATCGATGGCATCAATATAAAATATTTACGTATGCATATACGTAACCATTTTAAATTATCAAATTGCGCAAGTAAATCAAAAGCGAATCAAGATCTGCTAGAAGCGTACACAAGTAGACGGTAATTAACTCATCTAGAAATTATGAAAGTCAAGATGAAGAAAGTTTGTTAAAACTAAAATAAAGTAAACTTTGAAGCGTTACTTGTGTAAAAGGTAACGTAAATTTGCCGCTGCTTCAAAGGTAACTACTTGCTATTTATTCTTTTTATAGACTAAATACTTTCTTTATAGAATTATTTTTATATTGAAATGTTTATTAATTATAAAAAAAAGTATTTAATTATAAGAAAAAAATTTATATCTTAATATTTTTCCGTGGCTCCCAAAGGCTGCGATAATATGCGGAAGTAGACGCACCATTAAGAGACCTTTCACATGTCACACGTATGCCGCGTGTCGTTAAATCCGCTTGCTATCGATTTGTAATTCTTTTTTTCCGTGCCGAAGCGACCAAAGCGATTCGCACTTATCGCTTTTGCATGAAGCGCCCTTATCGACTTTGTCGAGTTGCAGATAATCGAGATCGACGTATCTATCGTGTGCGATGCGTTAGCCGCACAATCAACATGTGTGTTTACACTTGTGCGCATTGCCAAAATATTTTCTCTACTATAATCGGATACGCTCTAGCACATCGATACAATGGAGAATGCCGAATCATCCGTATCGAAGCGCAATATATCTACGAATTCTTTTTTATTTATTCGACATAACAAGGACTTGTCACATTTCAACAATTGTTTTAAAAAATATTAACTTTTCTTTATTTTGCATTCTTCGTTTTGTTCTTATTTGCATTGCTAGAAATTATTAACAAAGATAATTCACAATCGTGTGATTCTATATTAACAAATAATCGTAAAATAATTGTGGCCATCTATTTGACTTTTGTGTGTATTGATATCTGACGGTTCTCCAAGAGTACTTGAAACGAATACCGTCCACAACATTCCACAATGGTGTTGCCGTAGAATCCACAAAGAAATGTACAATAAACAACGTGACTTCTGGCGGCGATAACGCCGTAATTAACACTTCAGCCAGTGTATCGTGCAATCTCACCGGATATGTTTCGCGCGGAGAGGTACCGAAGCTGCTATAATATCCATGAAAAACGCTTGTTCAGAACCGGAACGACCGTCGAGACCTGGAAACGTCCCGAAGCGCGGAGCTAGTGACAGCAAAGGCGGTGAGCGCAATAACGGATAAGCGGAGCAATCGGACAGTTTGTGAGCGGCCTCTGCTCCTGATGGGCTGGACGATGGAGAGACACGGCTGTAGGGAGTCTGTATATTTATAATGACCCTATATGTATGCAAATGGCCGCATATCGTACGCTTCTATTCCGCTCGCATCGCTCGCATTCACACGTGAGAGAGAGAGAGAGAGAGAGAGAGGGAGAGAGAGAGAGAGGAGAACTCCGATCCACGCGTCATCTCCGCCTCTCTATATATGATCTTCTCTTTTGCATTTTCCGAATCTGCGAATGTATTCATGTACGCGCTTGTGCACGTATACCGAAATCGCGTGTGCAATTACGAACACGTAGAGGCGAATCGGGGGATGAAAATGCATCGATTGTGCGTAAACGCGAGTCAACGCAATTCCACGAGAGACCACGACACAATTTTGCAGTTAACCAAGTCTTTTTGGCCATTATACGCGAACTCACGGCATATTCCTGATAGATGCGACAGATCGCTTCCCGAACAAGAGCGTTCTAACTTGACAGCAAATCTAGTATAACTTTCTGTAGGTGTCTGCCATAAAGGAGGATAGAACTCATACGAGACTCCATTTATGAACTTTCCGACAGAACACGTATTTTATCTTATCTCTCAAGAGAGTTTAGTAGAAGCCTACCACAATCAAAATAATAAATATATATTTAAAAATCTACATTATATAACAGAGCGAATAATATTTATGAAAATGTTATTGTGTGTGTATCATAATATGTATTCACATACATGAAAAATATTTTATAGTTTATATGACATGTTGTCAAATTTATATAAAATTATGTAATTTATATATTTAATTCATAAATAAGATTTATGTATAAAATGTTAATTAACATTTGATTTTATCAATTGCTGATGCATAGCGAAAAAGTAATGTATTGCGATTTTATCTTTATTCTCGATTTTCATATTGATAAATTTGAGCTATATATTTTACAATTTCATTAAAATAACTATTTATTTTATGAACTACTAATACGATTACATTCTTGGTTCTCTATTTAATTTGGCACATCAGAAATCAAGAGAGTATCAACCAAACATAATTAATATATTATTTTTATAAAAAAAAATGTATTCCTATAAGAATCGCGCGCGATTAGCAATTTTATATTTTTTTAAATATTAATTCAGATTATTGAAAGATTCAAAACGCAATCAAAATATTAATATATGTGTTTCTACACAACAATGCTAAAAGTAAAACACATTCATCTCTTTCTGACCTAAAACTCGGCTCGCGTAAATGTCGATAGGGCGCATCGCGATGCACATAAATTATAACGATAAACATGTTATTTATAGACCAACATAAATTGGCTATGCTAATTTCTGCATTGGGGATGCCGCGATTGCTATAGTCGCATTCATTGAAAACAAATTGCAGCTTATGTCGATGTCGCAAATCTCGCTGTTTAGCTAATGTGCAGTGAAAAGTAAAAATTTACTTCTCATTTAATCTGTTATGCTATAAATCTCATAATTTCTACAGCTTACAATTAAATAATCATGAATTGTAAATGTGTAAAGTTATTATAAAGAAGAGAGATTATTTTATATTATATATA